GTCACAAGGGATTACTGGAGCCTTTGATAGCCTGGTCTAGCTTGTATCTACCGTCACAAGGGATCACTGGAGCCTGTGATAGCCTGGTCTAGCTTGCATCTACCGTCACAAGGGATCACTGGAGCCTGTGATAGCCTAGTCTAGCTTGCATCTACCGTCACAAGGGATTACTGGAGCCTGTGATAGCCTGGTCTAGCTTGTATCTACCGTCACAAGGGGTCACTGGAGCCTGTGATAGCCTGGTCTAGCTTGCATCTACCGTCACAAGGGATTACTGGAGCCTGTGATAGCCTGGTCTAGCTTGTATCTACCGTCACAAGGGATTACTGGAGCCTGTGATAGCCTGGTCTAGCTTGCATCTACCGTCACAAGGGATTACTGGAGCCTGTGATAGCCTGGTCTAGCTTGCATCTACCGTCACAAGGGATTACTGGAGCCTGTGATAGCCTGGTCTAGCTTGCATCTACCGTCACAAGGGATTACTGGAGCCTGTGACAGCCTGGTTTTATTCGTATCTATCTTCACAAGGAATGCTGGAGCCTGAACGTACCATGTTTTACTTGATATCTACTTTCACCTATAGTATATCTATCTAACTTCGACACGAAGTACCTAAGTCAGACTGACCAGATTCTACAGAATATCCGTCAACTTGACATGCGTGTGTGCAGGTTTAACGGCACTGGAACATCTCAACATTAGCTGAAAGGTATGATTGATCAGCACCACAAAGCCTCAGCATAAATCATTCCTGAAAATTGGCTCTTGGTAGCCAGCCATTTGAGCTTAAAGGCCCCAGTTTGCCGCCGGGCTATCTATACCATTCAAACCGGTACTTTGATCACGGTCCAACGAAAACAATTACGTCAATTTAAGACATCAAAAGGCACCTGCATGCCATTCCATGAAAATTCCTTTTGTTGTTGGGGTATTTTCTGTAAGCTTTTTGAACACCAGTATCTGGCTGTCATCATCGTGAAGCATCTTCTCTACCGAGACTTCAAAATGCACCAATCTCCCTTACATGTAATTGTATACACGCCAGGTAGAATGTGAACGAACATCAAAACGCCACCATTGCCGGCACAGCTAATGTTGCTGTTTCTTGCTTTAGTGATAGCTGATGACATAATTATCTTAAGAAGCTTGCATATTTTCAGAAGTTCAAGCTGATTACTGTCACTCACTTGTAAGTATTGTGTGACTTGTGGAATCAGCTCATGTCCTTCAGGAAACGTTTTCATTATTAGCTTCTAATCCGTTTATGTCAATTCCCCTCCAACTGACATCATTCCGCCCTTACGCGTGGCCGTTCCTGTGGTGTAGGGGCGGTCGGGTAGCCTAGTGGTTAAAGCGTTCGCTCGTCACGCCGAAAACCCGGGTGAGATTCCCGACATGGGTATAATGTGTGAAGCCCATTTCTTGTGTCCCCCGCCGTGATATTGCTGGAATATTGCTAAAAGCGGCGTTAAACCATACTCACTCACTCACTCACTCACTCACTCACTCCTGTGCTGTAACTCAGATATTAAATTACGAATATGAATACCGCATTTTCCAATGTTATAACTGCGCGAAAGCGCTGAGACCATTACAGATCTTATTATTGTCCCGGTCGTGTGATCAGAGTGCAAATGGTTTGTATTCTCAGCTCCCTGGGAGTCATACAGCCAACCAGCCTGTGAGGTGCTAAAAGGTTAACAGTTACACTGTCATCTTGTGCTACCAGGTGCCCATTCTCTTCTGGTGAACTGAGGCATGTTTCAGACAAAGTCACGTGTTGAATGTGCTTCAGGCAAACGCTTCGAAATTACAACTCCTTTCTAATCGGTTTACACCTCAAAATGATTAATAATCACACCGAAAGTTGACAACCGAAAAAGATTCTAACGTCCCATTCATCTGATTGGCTACGCGACACAGCGAAGGAGTCTGCATCGCCAGGACCAGGACAATAGTATTACCGAAACGATGCTCTGCTGTCAGCCTCAGCTTCCGTTGTTTGATTTGTTTATTCTAGCGCTAGAAGAATCAATATTTCCTACTGACTTTCTGTCAAAATAAACGTCATACTTTCATTCAAATGCAACACAGAGAAAGATTTGTGAATATTAAAAGAACGGAGCTGTAAAAGTTCGAAAATACAAATATTGTTTGATGGCGCGAATGTCACCGTAGATTTTAAGGACCAGTTAATCAGTTTTTATCTTTTAATATTGATTCATATTAACTCCTTTAATCTTCAACACTTAAATTATGATTCCAACAGCACGATTTGGTACGTATTTTACCGATGCCCCTACTCTTACTCAGCCAATTGTTTATTTACATTTGTATATGTATATAAGATGTCATGTTTCAATTGTTCACTTACACTTGTATGTGTATGTAAGATGTCATCTTTTAATTGTTCCCTTATACTTGTATAAGTATATAGGATGTCATGTTTCAATTGTTCACTTACACTTGTATGTGTATGTAAGATGTCATCTGTTAATTG